TGAGTGCGTCTGAAAATAGAGCAAAATAGCATGCCCAAGTTTATTCTTGAGGCAGTTGAAGAGGCCAAGAAACATGTATACCCTCAAAGTCCAAAAGACTCTATGAAAAAACATATGAGGACTTTATTTCCTGATGTGCCCAACATAGTGTAAATGAGCAGCAGTACTTTGTAGAAGAAACTCTCCTGGCCTGGCATATACATTAATATGAAAAATGCAAAAAAAATAAGCCATCCACCCTATGGAGCTTTTACTCAATGTTGAAGGCAACAGTTCTTTTGTGTATTTCTGTGGAAAAGAGCCGGTTTTAAAAATTAAAAACTGTAAAATGTATTTTCAATTTCAAAGTAGATTGAATTTTACCATTATTGCTTATTTCATTATTCTTATTAATTGAAATAAAGCTTGTTTTGTTGAAAAAAGTTGGTATTTTTTGGACTCAGCAATAGAAATACAAAAAGTTTTTAAAAAAATGACGAATTTTTGTTTATTTTTGAAACTTTCAGGCCCGCGGGCATAAAAGGCGCCCTAGGGCGTAAAAGTACTACTTCACGCTTTAAAATGCGGGCGTAAAAGTGCACTTTTACGCCCGTTCGTGCATAAATTGTTTCATGCCATACCAGTTCATTATTGTCTTTTTATACCTTAGATACCATCTACATAATTCATCACTTTATGCCCGTGCGGGCATAAAGTACACATTCTGGCCCGCGCGGGCATAATGTACCATTCTAAACATCAGGTTGACAATTACGCCGCAAATGACGTCGTTTGCGTGTACGCAAAGTTGCATCGATTTCAAATAAAGTCATCCTGGTATGACATAACAGTTTGTATGCACCACGGGTACTAATAGATATATACCCTCGGGCGACTTACGAACCCTCGGGCCAGAGGCCCTCGGCTTTGTAACGCTGTCGCCCTCAGGGCATAATCATCTACTTAGTACCCTTGATACATAAATAACTATTTTAGCTTCCTAGATATAGGAAGCTATGGTGATAGCCCGATTTTGAACATGTCAAAATTTCATTAAATCTTGACGTCTGTGTGTATGTATGTATGTATGTATGTATGTATGTATGTATGTATGTATGTATGTATGTATGTGTGTTGGCATTTTTCTGAGAAAACGGTTCGATGGAATTTGATGAAATTTTGGAAATAGATAGAAGAAGACGTGTAGGGAAAAGTTACATAGAGATATAGGAAAAAAAAATCCTCTCTAAGATATGACGTCATTGATCTTTTTTTTAAATGGGAACGCCATCTTTTTTTTCATTCATTGGTTAGAGCTCATTTTGCTTTATATAATTTAAAAAAAAATAATAAAAAAAAAATAAAAAAAAAAATAAAAAAAAAATAAAAATAAAAAAAACTCAAAAATCTCAAATATCTCAATAGGTTTCATTGGGACATTTTTGAAGAAAAAAAAAATGAAGTATAAATTTGATGATAAGCTAAGCAGCGTCGAGCGCGGTTACTACTTGGATGGGTGCCACTTAGAAATTTACACGACGTTGCTTTTTCTTGAGATTATAGCGTTTTAGGGTGCTTATTGAAGATTTAGTACGCCGGCTTGAGGTCCCTTTTCAGTAAAACACTTTATGGGGGTAAACTTACCCGTACAAAAGGACCCTTAGGGTTTTTCGCTTATAATAATAAAAATAATAATAATAATTATTAATAATGACAGCGAATATTATCCCATGTTAATCGTATATACGGTTGTCATGCTAATTTTTGATACAAACGGTTGCTGACGCCAGCAACCATTTATTTGTATCAATACAAACAAATATGGACGCTGATAGCAACATATTTTTTGCATTTTCATTCGTGAAATAATCATATATTATATCACAAGAGCTTTAAATTTAATCGATTAAACTATCCAACATATTTTGAGCATGATTTTGCTTGGAAAATATTTAGTTGAATGCACAATAACTTAATAAAAGCCCGAGACCGCGTGTTTTCTTTGCAAATTTCACTCGTCCTACGGACTAGTGGACTCGTGAAATTATAGAAAACACTCAATCGTGAAAAATTATCCGTAATTTTGAAGCTCTCGTGGTATTATGTGGTAGGTATTATCTCCGAAAAATGATATTAAAACCTGAAAAAATGTCAAGATTTATTAAAATAAATTCATGGTTTGAAATGACAATTAATGACAATGACAATCATTAATTAGGTAGTCATTTGTCTAGGAAGCGTTATGTCAAAAATTTGACATCTGGTTTTACAAAATATGGCTGTCATTCTAAATTTTTGATGTTGAAAATATAATATTGACAATATACAAAACTCTAGTATTACTTTGCACACATTAAAATATGCTGCGTTTATATAGGTACGTCTGGCGCAGTTATTGGATTCGCGTATATATAAAGTTTGTTTCGCCAGGGTTTGTACTTGCCACCAGCATTTGCCTTCCTTGTATAACAAAAAAAAAATTGACAGAAATAAATCAATGACGTCAAAAACGTTCGTCGGTTGTTAAACCAGAAGTCATTTATTTTAATTTGTCAAAAAAATTGAATGTGTCATATGAATTAATCTACGACAACCCTTTTTTTCAAGTTTCAAGGTCAAGTATGAACCCTGGGTGAAACTTACTTATATGGGTGAAATGGACCTTACGTTTAGAGCAGCTAAAAGGTTAAATATGAATATAAGGTACCTGACCCAAATAAGGCCATGTACCTAATAAGGCCAGTGCCCCATTGCTTAATATTGAATCCCATCACCAAAAATTATAATATTATTGAAAAAGATATCTATAATGCAAATCAAAAATTATTGCGAGGATTCCTAGCAACTCGTTATATGTCGAAAAATAGCTAACCACAGATTTCATATGTCACGTTATAACTTTGAGGCTGGAACCTAATTAGCTTATACACATGTTCATACAGGGAATGGAGTAATAAAGCCGCCACATGAAAATTTTTCAATTTGCCTCACATCGCAGTGTTTTTTTAAAAGAATGTGTCAATATTATTTAAGAGATGTGTTTTAGAGCGCCTGGGCTGGAACTCTGTAACGATTAAAGATATTTTCTCTATCACTATTGACGTCTCCTCTCTATTGATTTCGACAAGAAAGAAGAAGACAGCAAGTGTCATAGCGATAGGGATAACGATCCTTATCCGTTACAGAGTTCCAGCCCTGAGTCTAACCAAGCAAGAAAAGCTGCGGTTCAATTTTCCTAGTTGTATGTAGACCCATTTGGATCACCAACGCAGGACTTAAAAGTATTGTTTTTTTAGAATGCAGCAAACGTTAAATTTCTATTTTGAGTACTTTTTGTCAAAAAATAATATTTTTATAAATGATTCTATTTATTTTAAACATTTTTTATTGGTGGCCTTATTAGGAGCATAATCATCCACATAAGGCCAATGGTAAGGGTCTTTGTTTTACGCAAAAACCACCTTATATGTAAAAATAAATAAATTGGGGTTAATATTCAAGTAATAGAAGCGAAACACTTCACATATAAGCTCGTGATTTTTGTTGTGTTTGGTGGATAGTGTTCGGAAAAAATAAAACTTGGCTTTATTTGGGACAGGTAGGTAGGTACCTTATAGGATATAAATGGACATCCATCATAATAGTTATTAATGATACTAGTTCGATATGAACACCCTAATGAAACGCGTGTAACGTTAAACCACGAGGCGTTAGCCGAGTGGTTTAGTTACACAAGTTTCATTAATACAGTTCAGAAAACATGGATAGAATTGTAGGGTTAGTAATTCTAAGCAAAATTCATATACAGGGTATACCATTTAAAACGAAACAGGCTAAATATCTGATACCACTTTAATTTTTTTTTTAAATCGCCCGTACACGTTATTTGATTGTGAGAGTGTTTGAAACATTTTTAGCATTAACCCTCTGGGGGGGTTGCGACCAACCATTACCATTCCAAATGGAACACGGGGTCGAGTGATACCCGTTTTGAAAGTGTACCATTTCTTTTCAAATGATATCAAATGAAAGAGAATTGAACGCTCTTTCAAAAGAGGCATCACTCGACCCCTTGTTTCATTTGAAATAGTAAGGGTTGGTTTCACCCCGCCTAGAAAGTTAAAGTTGAAGTTCTAAAAATGGTTGCAGAAAACTTCCCCCTTTGAAAATCAAATTACGTGTACGAGCGATTTTTTAAAAAATAAACGTGGCATCAGATATATAGCCTGTTTCGTTTTAAATGGAACAGCCTGTATTTTTAGGGGGGTTTTCCGATGAGTTGAGGCGCAAAATGCGTTAGAGCTTACGAATGCACGGCCCTTTTTTTTCCAGCGATAAAAATAGGTCTACTAATGAGAAGTATACTGAAGTTACGTAAAAAAATAGTCTGGCTAATTCGTGAGTATGGATTATACGTCTGGCAAGTGAAAAATTGAAGATCCGAAAAATTTCAGCCAGACTCACTTTCCACTATCTGAGATAAGCCAAATTGCTATTTTTATATACTTTATGTTCTATTCTAGTGAATGTGGAATATTTATCACTGGGAAAATAAGTGTACTTGTATTTTTCATTGATTTTGTAAACCCATCCGAAAATTTTTGCAACACTCAAATATTCTTGTTTTTTTATCACCAAGAGAACAAACTATTAAATATACACCAACTGGGAAAATAAGTGCTAAAAAATTTCACGGTCTCCTGGACTAATAGAAAAGTGTTTGTAGAAAATAACTTGCAATGATTGACAGGAGTTTGGACGGTCGCAATCTAAGGTCTCAATGTTCATTTTAAGTCAAAATCTCAACATCGAAAAATTTAAATATTTGTGAAAAAAGGAGGAAATCTTCCAAGTGAAAGTTTTGAAAATTATGCAAAATCAGATCCCCAACAGTATCGTAGATATAAATCTGAAATTTTCTGAGAATGTAGTTTGTGTTGGCCAAACAGAGAATTTAGCATTTGTCGACGCTGTGTCTTTAAAGGCTGATCCTGTGATAAAAATAAAACAATATTAATTTATATACAATAATTTTATTGTAATTGATTTAATATACATTTTTTTTATAATAAAACAATCTTTTGCTCTTTTCATCTATAATACAAAATTATCAATATAAATACAATAAAAACTATTATTGTTTTGGTACATTGCCTCTTCCTAATAAAAAAAAATAGGTATATTTTTTTTTCAAAGTACCACACATGATATTCAATTTTTTCTTTCCAAAAAGCGATCAATATCATGTGCATACGTATTTTACAATTAAACTAGGATAATGATGAGGAAAATTCATCAAGACTTTTATTAAGTGGGTACAGCAATAATTTGTTTTAGTACCTAAGTACTACCAAAAAAAATCAAGTAAAATAATTAAACTACATATATAATGGCAAAAATTGCTACTATTGCAAACAAAATTATAAAGCTTATTCTTATGCAGTTATCTGTGCATGCGATAATATTTCGTTGATTTTTGTGAAGCTCCTTTGAGTTGAATCACAGTAATAATTAAAAATTAAATTGATATTTTGGCACATTCTTGAAAATAAAAAATTACACATAAAAGCCATATAAACAACATTAACATGATTTTTTTGTTAATAATTTAATGATAGATATGGCTTGAAAATAACTAGTAATTTGGATATTTCGATTTTAAAATAACCCAGAAAATTTTATACACAAAACGTTTTATTTATAAAAAATATACAAAATTTTTACAAGAAGATTCTCGAAAAAGAATGCAAAAATCACATACCACAGACAAATCAATCATAAAAATTCCATATCGAGGGCATTATACAGGGCAGCTATTTCGCTATGACTCAGTATTCGCCAAAAAGGAAAATTTAAAGTTTTTGCCGCAGTTTCTTCATCTTGCCCATCTCCAATCACTACATAAGTACATTTCCTACCAAATCTAGTTACGATACGTTCAAAGCAACTCTCTTTACCAATTTTTGTTGCCGAATAAATATTATCAATAGGAAATACATTGCCCAAGCCGAAAAGTAATACTTTTGCCAAAGCAGGAATCAGCTGCGTTGTAGTAACTAACACATTAACACAATTACTCCTTGAATTTATCAGTGTCAGGCACTTATTAGCTAACGTCAACCAATTATCAGTTATAGCTTCGATTTCTTGTCTCAGCTGCAACCAATGCTCGCGTTTATTTGAGCCCAAAAGACCGCCAACACTATTTCGGTAATTATTATAAGTTTCTTTAATTTTTCTATATCTAAAGGCTAGTTTACGCATCCAGTCGACTCCGCCACGTACGCCAGCTGCTAAACATAAATTGCCATTGCCCGCAGCTGAAGCTGCATGAAAACCATCCGTGGTAAAATTGTAATTTGATAAATCTTGTCCGTTGTCGTCAGATGAAACATCGTCTATGTGGACTTGATCACATTCCTATTTGATAAAAATGATTAGTTTATGTTAATTGACTACATTTAAATATAACTTACTTCGATATCATTGAAAAAGAAATGAGTGTCAGATAAGTTAAAAACCATTTCTTCCATTTTGAAGCCAAGTTGAACAACATTTTGAGTATCCTGTAGAAAAAACATAGTCAGTTGTTTACAGATTAATTTGCACCAAAACTTACTTTGTGGAATTTGGTTGCATAACTGCCAGTTAATAGAGAATGAAATATAATTATTGTTTCATCTAAATCCCATATAAACACCCTGTCTGTTGTTGACTCGGGGGTTGTAGGTGAAATTGTGTTTGTTCTTCTACCTCGGCCTCTCGTTCTTGTTTCTCCTCCTGTAATTATTAAGCAGTTTTAGTTAAGTACCAACAATTAAAAGTTAATATTTGCTATAGTTCTATCTTGAAGTTGAAAATAATGGGTTAACAATAATCCTCACCTAAACTAGTTGGTGGTTCTCTGGATCGTCTTGCACTGTCTGCCTTTAGTGGTGAAGTTGAGCCGTCGGTTATTGGAATACCATTTGAGGGACTTTCTGATGTGGAGAATAAACAAATTTTAATTAAAAACAAACAAAATAATTAGCTAACAAAATTTGTATTGGGCTTAGTGCACCATCATGTTTTGATTCTGAATTACTTATGTTATCCTACAAAGTGTGATGACCCGGGAAAAATGAACCCGTAATTTACAATGTCTTTACTGTAAAAATTAAATGTAATCAAATAAATAAAAACTGAATTTCCTGTATTTCAAATCAGTATCAATAAATTGAAAATTAAACAAAATAACGTTGACCCAAATTAATTAAAATATCTAAAAAAACGTTTAATTTCTTATTATTTAGTCATCATCTAAATGAAATTCATAAAAATATTAAAAGCGAGGCCAGAGTAATTAAATAGGTGATTTATGGCCGCACGTGTTTTCGGTTTTCTTTGAGTTGTGCTCACATTTTTACAACTAAATCTGTTGACCCCGATAAACCAGGAAATTGCGACATAATTATTCGATTTTAAACAAATAAAAAAGGAAGGTTAATGGATGATGAAAATAGAAATTTCGGGGGACAAAACATATAAATACAGCGGTTTTAGAAGTCTTGAGATCAGTTGTTAATTCATTCCAGTTGAGTCTTCATTATAGTAGCCAATGAGTCAGTTCGGATAAAATTCGCGAGGAGTTTCTGTTAATTAGTTGCCTCGGGAAAACGCGTTAAACTTTGAAAAAGTAACGGAAAATTGTGAAAGAAAGAACATTTAGTCATTCAACATAATGTGCGAGCTCTAGTGATTTTTGAAGTAAATTAATTAAGTAATTTTACGAGTGAAAAGTTAAATGTAACTACTCTAGTGACTAGTAAAATTTTTTGACTTTATAAATGATGAATGATAAGAAGTGAATTGACATTGAATTTTAATGCATAAAAACTTGAGTGATTTGACTGTAAAAACTTTATTGCATAACTTTAATTGCCTTCGAGTATAATGACATTTTAATTAATTTTGCAAAGAATTAACAAAGGAAAATTATAATGCTCTTAACAATATTCGATTTTGAGTAGGAATTATTAAAGAATTTTGTATTGGATTGTCTACTTGAAGTTTAAGGGCTATAGTAACGAACTAATAAGAATTTAAATAATTGTGTTTGTTGGCTAGGAATCCGAAAATAGTAATTGTTCTGTTCAAAATGATCCTTAGTGATGGATGGGAACTACTGAATGTATTGGAAAGTTTTGTTTGAAAATTGTTGCTCATAAAGTACCATTGATGACCTTAAGTGCTGAAATTTTGAATTAGGGTTTTTTTTTTTCATTTAGAAATTATTGTGAGGTTTTTATAAAAATATAGTTGGTACTACATACAGGGCTTTCATTTCAAAACTTGCCACCTATGTTATCAGCGTAAAGAGACAGATTTGTGGAAATCGCCGAAACACGTCGACAAATTGATTGAGGGGGAATGTTTTTCACGTAAACCTGGACTTCGCCCCTTCAACCCTCTAAGCCCTAGGGCTACCACCTCAAAATTTTCAAATAAGACAGGGGGTCGAGTGATAGATCATTTTAAAGTACATCTGTACATTTTGCCGTCCTATTTTTTGAATTTGACCTCAGTGTTGCAGAATAACACCCATTTCAATATTTAAAAATGCCTATTTATCCTCAAACACACCTGCTTTTTTACCTACCTTTTTATTACAGTCACAGGTAAACAAGCAGGTGTGTTTAAGGCTAAATAGGCATTTTTAAACATTGAAATGGGTGTTATTCTGCAACAGTGAGGTCAAATTAAAAAAAAAGGACGACAAAATGTACCGGGTGTCCAGATAAGAAAGGTCACCGGCTATATCTCAGGAACTATTAGTCCTAGAGCTTCCATGTAATTTTTTTTTTTTATAAAATAGGCCATGAGAAATTGCTGGAAATAGTTTTCAAGTTTGTAAGTTGACCGCTAGGGGGCGCAACGAGCACTCGAAAACATAATACTGTGATTATCTTCAAAAAACGCCTACTAAGGGTATCCTAAAAATATATTCAAATCTTGATGAGATTACGAAAAAATTTTGTTAAGGATTTTTTGCCCTAACTTTTCAAATAAGAGGTGGGGGAAGGTTCAAACTTGTTAGGAACAAAAATTATATAACTTTTTTGTTTTTTAACCGATTTCAATGAATCGGGTGTCATTTGAAAGAGTTTTTTTCTGTTCAATAGAATGCATAACAAAACTAACAAGATTAAATTGTTTCGTTGCCGCTAGGGGGCGCTGTGTCCAAAAGTAAGCAATTTTCTATTTTTTCTCGGAAATTTCAAATATAATGATGCTGTTTTTATAATTTAGACGGAAAGAGGATAAAAAAATAAGAAATCTGGTGAAAACCGCAAGTCTGAATCTTTATCCTAGCCCAAAATATAAATAAACAAATATTTCAAGTAAGAATAATTTCAGATAAAAACCTTCTTGCCTTCCTTTTTGGGATAAAACAGAAAGAATCATATTTTTTTACGGCACTATAGAATTAGTAAGAAGAAGAACTAGTTGTGTATCTGAAAGTAGCTACCAATCCACGATATCAAGAATTGAAATTGAATTGAACTATGTTATTTACAATCCAAGCTGCGAAAGCACATTTCTAGGTGCGAGGTGTATTTAATACCTCCGAACACCTAAATAGTTATTTACATTCCAAGCTGCGAAAGCGTACTTTTAGATGCGTGTATTCAAATAGCCGAGGCTGCGCTTCGCTTCGCCTCGGCTATTTGATAACCTCCGAGCACCAAACAGGACAGCAGCATGTGATGTATTAAACTTTTCATCCTTCCCCCTCAAAAATCGTGAAAAGGCGTGCGAAAGTGAAGGTACCTACAAGCATGTTTCACTTTCGCTTTTGCTCGCCTATGCAAGATAAAAAAATCTACTTTTGTAGGGGGGAGAATGAAAAAGGCTTTTGTAGCGTGTAACAGATTAGATTTCAGTAATATAAACACATGCGACATCTACTTCTAAATACAAACATTGCACCTGGATTTGTGTTTAGGTGTGAAAGAACAATAATTTATCAGGGTCGAAAGTGAGTTCTCCAGGCCGACAATGACAGGAGTCGAAACAGTCATTTTCGGTCTGCGTTAAAGTAATAGTATATTACATACGGAGGTAGAAAGTGTTTTCTGTAAAAGTAAAAGTCAAAAAAATGACATTTTCAACCTTTTTAAAAGTCAGTAAAGTCAACATTACATGTATAATTGTAAATAAACAAAAGTAAAGTGACATTTTCGAACCTTCAAACCAGTAAGGAATGTGAAAATTACATATTGGTGATTTCAAAATTCAATGCGGCACCTGGCGGAGATATTTGGAACTAACTTAACGAGTAATAGATCGGTTGTTTATATACCGTATTGGAATATTTTCTTGCTTTTTCGATGTTCTATGTTCTTTCCTAATTTAACTTACGTGTTTTGTGTTGAAAAGTGGGAAATATTAAAGGGAAAGCTTTTATTTTCATTCTGTGAGGTGCTATTATTACAGGAATTCAATGGCATCTGCCTCCAAGTCCAAGCGGTTCAAGCATAACACAAACTGCTGTGTATACGAATGCCATTCTCGAAAAGGTGCAGACAGAACTATTCATTTTCATTATTTTCCTAACAAAAATAGTGATCGTGCTTTCTACGCCAGCCTGCAGTTAGGATAAAACTGTGGCCAAACTCAAAAACAGGCCTCCATTTTCCATATTTCGTGTTGTATGGATACGAAATGCACAAAAGAAAGTCACAACGTTCAAAATTTATAAAATATAGTAAAAAACCACCGAAAAAACTACGAGAACAACGAGAAAATTAGCGAAAGAAATTCGAATGCATATAAATACAATGCTGAATGTCAAAATATTACTCGTTCTCCACCATATTTGTTTACAGACTCCAGCGCCCCCATCAGTAGTCGACATCGCCAATATGGTTTAAAATAATAGTATATTGCATATCGAGGTGGAAAGTATTTTATAACTGTCGAGAGATTTTACAACGGTTAGACCGAGGCGCAACCGAGGTTCAACTAAAATCTCGAGACAGTAATGAAACTTTTTACCGAGGTATGTATACTATGTATTTTATTTACAATCATTCAAATTTTGTAATTTTTATTTTGATGAGAACTAAAAAAATACAATAAATTTCAACAATTTCACTTACCTTCGGCCCACGGGAGAAAAGCAAACTTTCAACCCATGGGTGAAAAGTAAAAGTCAAAAAAGTGACATTTTCAAACGTTTTAAAACTCAGAAAACTCAACATTACATGTATGATTGTAAATAAAATGTTTCTATGTTGAATGGGCAAGCGAAAGTGAAAGTAATGACTAGCATGTTTGAATTTCGCTTTCGCTTGCCTTTTCAAGATAAAAAAATGTTTTCCTGACGGGAACAATGGAAAGTTGGATACATTACACGCTGCAAAAGCCTTTTTAGTTTTTCGGAGGTATTCAAATAGCCGAGGCGAAGCGAAGCGCAGCCTCGGCTATTTGAATACACGCACCTAAAAGTACGCTTTCGCAGCTTGGAATGTAAATAACTATTTAGGTGTTCGGAGGTATTAAATACACCTCGCACCTAAAAGTGCGCTTTCGCAGCTTGGATTGTAAATAACATAGTTCAATTCAATTTCAATTCTTGATATCGTGGATTGGTAGCTACTTTCAGATACACAACTAGTTCTTCTTCTTACTAATTCTATAGTGCCGTAAAAAAATATGATTTTTTCTGTTTTATCCCAAAAAGGAAGGCAAGAAGGTTTTTATCTGAAATTATTCTTACTTAAAATATTTGTTCATTTATATTTTGGGCTAGGATAAAGATTCAGACTTGCGGTTTTCACCAGATTCCTTATTTTTTTATCCTCTTTCCATCTAAATTATAAAAAAAGCATCATTATATTTGAAATTTCCGAGAAAAAATGGAAAATTGCCTACTTTTGGACACAGCGCCCCCTAGCGGCAACAAAACAATTTAATTTTGTTATTTTTGTTGTGCATTTTATTGAACAGAAAAAACTCTTTCAAATGACACCCGATTCATTGAAATCGGTTAAAAAACAAAAAAGTTATATAATTTTTGTTCCTAACAAGTTTGAACCTTCCCCCACCTCTTATTTGAAGAGTTAGGGCAAAAAATCCTCAACAAAATTTTTTCGTAATCTCATCAAGATTTCAATAATCATATTTTAAGGATACCTTTAGTGGGCGTTTTCTGAAGATAATCACAGTATTATGTTTTCGAGTGTTCGTTGCGCCCCCTAGCGGTCAACTTACAAGCTTGAAAACTATTTCCAGCATGTTCTCATGGCCTATTTTATAAAAAAAAATTTTACTTGGAAGCTCTAGGACTAATAGTTCCTGAGATATAGCCGGCGACCTTTCTTATTTGGACACCCGGTACAGATTGAACAGCCCTTTAAAATGATCTATCACTCGACCCCCTGTCTGATTTGAAAATTTTGTGGTGATAGCCCTAGGGCTTAGGGGGTTGAAGAGGCGAAGTCCAGTTCAACGTAAAAAACATTCCCCCTCAATAAATATGTTGACGTGTTTCGGCGATTTCCACAAATATGCCTCTTTACGCAGATAACGTGGGTGGCAAGTTTTGAAATGAAAGACCTGTATATGTATACTTAATTCCAGTGAGTAGGATTATGACTTAAATAATTATTTTGCATAAGCTGTCAGTAAATGACTTAGGAATTTTAAGAATTTATAGATATAGGTGAAGGGTAGTTTTAATAGGAATGTGAATCGGAAGTGTTGTTGAAAAGAGTAAATGTATAAACTTAAAAGTTATTGAGAATAGAAGAAGTAGGGCGTTTTTAGTATGGATATTTCCTGGTCCGTAATAATGAAATTTGAACGGATGTAACATAAATTGATTTGGGAAAAGTAGAAGTGGCTGTCAGACATAGAAAGATATTTGTTTTATTTTAATTTGGGTTTTAAGTATAATAAAATATAATTTAGTAAACCTCAATAGTTTGTTTCTCTCTTTTGCGAATAGACCCCCTCCACAATTTTATAGGTAGCCGCTCAAGGAAATAAACTCCATCAATATACTGCTCGCCATTTACCATCTAATTAATTAAAAAGAGTACTTGAGTGCGTTTTGCTACAAAAGACACAATATTGGTTGCAGTAGTCTCAACACAACACTGCTATAGATGAGAAAATAAACTGATGCCCATAAATTGAAATTAACTAGTTTTCTATTGATCTTTTTATTTCTTACCTGAAAGTGCTCCAGTAGCTAATTGATAAGTCGAAGTACCTATACTACCGCTAGAACTAGGCGAACTAACGTAAGGTGAATAAGACTGTGAGGCGTAGTAGCTGCTGGCGTATTGCGTTTGTGAATCTGCGTAGGTTGAGCCATATGGACTGTATTCGACACCCTAAAAAAGAAGCATATTTGAATATTTTCAGACTACGATAACATTTTTTGGATGTCTTTAATTAATCCGACCAATGTCAATTTTTCTTTACTAGTAAAGTCTCTCATTAGAAAAGTTTTCATTAATTTTTGCTCAAACTCAATCAATCTTGTTTCAGATTCTGACAACAAATAACTATTCATCATTGTAATATAAACAAGGATCTGTCAAAGATCTCACCAAACCTATGATGATCGAATGTTGATGAAGCTTATCATACAAGCATTTGGTGATTGTCTTAAACCATGTAAAGATTTGTTTAGCTTGCACACAGTTCTCTCTGGAATTTCTTTTAGACCTTTTGGCACTTCCATATAAACCGGTTGCTTCGATACACCATTGAGAAATGCGCACTTAAAATCAAGTTGGTAGATTTTTAATTCTTTTTGAACACTGAGTGATAAGAGAATTATGATGGTTAACATCCTTGCGACTGGTGAATATATTTCTTCTTGCAAATCTGATTGCACAAAATCTCTTGCTACAAGTCTGGCCTTCCCTATCACTTTTCCATCTCTTTCTTTTTTTGTGAAAATCCAATTTGAATCTATAATTTCAACATTATTTGGTTTTGGAATTATTTCCCAATGTTTCTTCTGTACAAGTGAGTCCAATTCGTCTTGTATGGCTTTCTGCCAACCTTCTCTTCCTTCCATAGCTTTATCATAATTTTCAGGAATGTCTGATGATATACCTACTGACAGTACTGCCATCAGTTCAATGTCATATTCTTCTGCTTAGGAGTTTTTCTTTCTCGTATTGATCGTCTTCGTGTTATATTATTGTCAATTATTTCAGTTTGATTTTCTGATTCATTTTTCCCTTTATCTTGTACTTGGCAATTTTCTTTTCTTGTACTTTGTATTTCCTCATCATTATTGATTTATAAATCTATCACTTCTTGACCGTTCTTGGAATTCTTCATTCTGTCTTCCAATGTTCTGATCTATGATATCCTTTTTATTCTCGTTAAATTTTACATTTCTGGCAATCACAATTTTCTGTTTTTCTTTGTCTCAAAGCCGATATTCATTGTCTGTATTTATATCCCATCATAAACAATAGTTTTGATCTCTCTATCTAAATTACTGGATCTTTCTACTTTTGGTACATGAACATACGCTCTACATCCAAATACATACTTTAATTTTATTCAAATTAGGCTTATAACCATACCAAAGTTCAACTGGAACATATTTTTCAGCACTGTTGTTGGAGTTCTATTTATTAGATATACAGCTGGTTTCAAGGCTTCACCCCAAAAAGTTTTATCCATTTTCGATTCAAATATTAGGCATCTTGCACGTTCCATTACGGTTCTGTTGAATCTTTCGGCTACACCATTTTGATGTGGTGTACCTATATGCTACTGTGTATTCTATTTTAATACCTTTCTTTGAACAAAAATCCTTAAACTCACTTGAGACGTACTATTCTCCTCTATTGTCACATCTTATTCGTTCCAGTTTCTTGTTAAATTTTGCACTAACCATTGCTAAGAAGTTCTTCAAATGTTCAAAAACTTCACTCTTGTGCTTCATTAAATTAACAAACTGTAAAATGACTGTGATTGTGATGATCCATAAAAGTTACAAAATATCTCTTGTCATCATAAGTAATGGGTGTTATTGGTCCACACACATCTTAAGATACAACTTCAAGTATTCGCTTTGCTTTTCTCTCTTCAGTAAGAGTTACATAAGGATCCTTTGTTCGCTTACCTTTTAAGCATATTTCACAAACACCTCCATATGGATATTTAGCAGAATGACCCATTCGCCTATGCCATAAATAATTGTCAATTTCACCAACAGTTGATGTATTTTTTCTGGGTTTTTTAAAAATAAATCCAAAGTGTATAAATTCTTATTTAATTCTCCAATAACTAATACTTTCTTTTGATTTTGTATCAAGACATTTTTATTTTCAAACACCACCGTCAGACCTTTTTCTTCTATAATTTTGACTGACAATAAGTTAAAGTTAGGTACGAGTTAAACTTTCACACCCAAGGAAATTCTCTGAAACAATTTTTCTGCCATTTTTAGCCTCAAAATGCAAATTACCTTTTCTTTTTGCTATAATAACTTCATCCTCCTTTGCTATTCTTATTTGATAATTCTATTCTTCTAAATTAATCAATTTTTTTTTCCACAGTTGAGTTAACGCGATGATTTGAAGCACCGCTGTCAACTACAAAGTTAACTTCACTTTTTCCTGCTGCATAACTAGCCAATGTTCGTGCCTCTGATTCAACTTCAGAAATAAATTCAACTTCATCATTTTCACTATTATTGTCACTTTCAGCCAAATGAGATTGTACCCTACTATTTTGTAACTTCTGGACAGTCCACCTTCTTGTGCCTCTTTTCACCACAACCATAGCATCTAAATGGAAAGTTCTTTTCATTTTCCTTCTTTTTCCAATTTTGTCACTTTGGATTGAAATGTGGCTTAAAGTTTCCTTTATATCCTAGGAACACCTCTGACCCTTCACCCTGATATTTTGATTCACATTTATTTTTATTTCGTTTCTCTTCTTGCATCAAGAGTCTACTCTTAATGAATTCTAGAGTCACTTTACTGGATTCTTGATAATATAAAATGGTCAAAATGTCTATTGTTGTAGTCACATTTTGATACGTATCAGCAATGTATCAGGCATTGCAGATAATAACTGTGTAATGATCTCTAAGTCTTAGATTGATCCACCACAATTCTTTAGTTCTGAAAGTGTTCCTTCAAACTTTAGAAGAAAATCGTTTGATGAACTTTTTCCATCACATCTTAATGTTCTTTGTAAACTTACTTGGTTGACTATACCAGACTTCGTATATTTTCCACTTATTCCTAATAACATGTCCTTGGCAGTAGCCTTACCTTTCACCATCTTGAGTATATTATTATCAGCCAAACTATTGACTATCAAGTTACGAGCCTTGACATAATCTTTTCTAAACTTCACATACTCAGATGATTGCTCGTCAGGCGGATCCTTTGTCAGCATCTCCAAAACTCCATGATACTGGAGAAGCAACTTCATTCTAAATTCCCATTTGGAAAATACTTTCTCATCAAATGATTATATCTGCACTGTTTGCCATGACTGTTTACACCTATTTCCTTTCTTGATACTGGGTGAGTTCCTCCTCACTGTAATTGTCATCTTCTGTAAGGTTTTTCAATTCACTTACACCCTTTCTTTAGCCTTTCCAGTCAGCTTTTATCTGGCCCGTAACCTTTTGACTATCTACCTTCTCCCATATAGATCAAGAACCAAGAATGAACTATGGATTAACCAGTTTGGTGTCCTCTAGCTTCCAGCATTCAGAATAAACAGGCAAATTTCCAAGAACAGTGAAAGCGTTTCTATTATAAACACAGGACATAACAACTGTTACCTAGAAACGATTACAGTGGATTCGCCTAATTGTGATTAGAGGGTAAATATGACACATGCAATTATCTTGCATCCTAATATCAGAACGTCAAAGCTGTCAACTCTGTAAGTACCTACGCGGGCATATCACTTTCCATTTTTCTACCATTTTTTGATGACAGTTACCATTTTTCACCATTTTTTGCATATACCATTCAATAAAACATTGGGGCTTTCCAAGCGATTAACTAGTCGGTAACTTTGACAGGTGAGCAACAGATTTTACGTCATTCAAGACCAATTCGTTAAACACAGAACTCGTTAACAAATGACGTTTACTTCATTGTTTATGGAGTGTAACCGACCGGTCAAACGCTTGATATCCTCTATTGTATTTCAGGTTAAGTTCCACTTTGCACTCCACGGAGCGGAACGGTATGAGCATGGATATCATGACGTGATAGGCGGTCATAAGCCCAACGCAAAAGAGATTACTCTGAGCGCTAAAACGAACATCATCTTATCATTTCGAGCGCGCTCAGAGTTTACTGAGTGTAAAGCCGAACTTAGCCTTAATGTTTTCATTCCAGCTAAACTCATGACGTTATTATTCTAACCGGATTTTCGTTTTTAAGGACTCGTGGGCTAATCATCATATGCTTTGTTCCAACACAGCCATGGGCGTCGTTTGGGGGGGGGGGGGGGGGGGGGCAAGGGGGGCATTGGCCCCCCCTAGAAATAGGTACATTCAAAATGTACCTTGCAATAAGTGCAAGAGAGTTCCTATTTTATATTTTCAAGAAAAAAGGGTTTGGTTTTTAATCTTTACTATTATTTATCTTTCGATTAAGACCAAAATGTTTATGTTTATGAATGATTATTCTGCTTTGTTTTAAGCTTTACCTGTAGTAATAGTTTAAAATATTTTTTTTAGGCTCAGAAGTTACTTCCTTTGTTCCTACCTAGGCAGTTCTAGAATTTTGTAGTTTTATTTTTGTTAGATTGTCCCGTTGGGAAAAAAATTGGTTTTTCGTTCCTATTTTTGTAACACTTGAAATTTGTACCTGATTTGTGCAATTGTATCTGTAGGTATTTTTAATAAAACATATATTTTGATGGAAGATTAGTGATTACCTATTTGAGTAACGACCTTTAATGAATACGCTGTGCTGTGAAAAAATAGCTGACATTTTCATTACATTCAACGGAATTGAATTTCACTTGACTTAGGGCCGGTATTATAAAACACTGAACCGATGGTTGAGTTTCAACCTTCGGTTGAATCCTATCAATTTGCATGGAGTCAACCGAAGGTTGAAACTCAACCATCGGTTGCCCTTAGGGCCGGTATTATAAATCACTGAACCGATGGTAGAGTTTCACCCTTCGGTTGAATCCTATCAATTTGCATGGAGTCAACCGAAGGTTGAAACTCAATCATCGGTTCAGTGTTTTATAATACCGGCCATTAGAAAATTACCTAAACAAATGATGCGGACAGTGAATTTGTTGCGGGAAAAAATACCATCATTTTTAACTAAATATCGATATCAAACAAATACGTTAAAATGCTCACAAAGGGGCGTGGAAAAAAATTAGCCTACGGCGGTCGCCTGCGGCGCTAATGAAGATGGTCTTATTATAATACTGCCCCCCCTCAGAAATGAAGATACTAAAATATAATAGACCCCCTTTCGGCGCTTTCCCCTTTAGAATTAGAGATACCATTTTTTGTGTGTAGAATACCACTTTTTTAAATGACAGATACCATTTTTTATTTTTTCCATCTGGCAACACTGATGAGGATACACTCAAGGAATTGGATCTTTTGAACGCTCCAGAAAGAATATTTAACATAGATGAAACGTCACTTTGCAGCGATCCACAAAGGTTGTGTCGCAGAGAAATCAACAAGTTTTTCGTCACACGCACGGCACAGGAAGAAGCAACACAAGTATTTTGTTCTGTATTTCAGCTGACGGAAACAGACTACCGATATTTATTATTTATAAGGCCAAAAATCTATGGGATTTGTGGATGCCTGAAGGCGCTTATCCTAATACTGGCTATGCTGCAACTCCTCATGGATGGATGACCGAGTCTGCGTTTTTTTCTTGGTTCAAAAACCACTTTATAAAATATGGCCCCAAGGAAAGACCTCTTCTACTAATTTTTGATGGGCATACTGAAACTTCCACCCCACACGACACATGTCTTGCAACCCTAAGATGCAGTGCCATTTGGAATCTTCAAAAAAATGTGGGACGAAGAATTAACCAAAGAGGACATTATGGCATTGCTTTAAGCAAGGCCGAGTTTTCTGTAATGGTTGGAAAAATTTGGGAGAAATTGTCGATTCAGTTGATTAGAAAATCTTTCCAAATTACGGGTTTATACCCAGTTAACTTCAATGCAATAGACCTCAGAAAATATACGTCATCGTCTTCAGAAATAGAACACGAAAATTCCGAAGAAAACATCGCATCCACGGAACCTGGGACATCTAACCTAATTAGAGAGCAGCCTGGAAAATCGAGTAACATAAATGAAGAGCAACCATCTACATCAGAAAAAATACTGTTTGAAGATCTACTTTTGAAGAAAAAATCTTTGGGTAAAAGCTCGACAGAAAAGAAAAAAAAAGTTTCTATGAATGCTGAGGTGATAACAAGAGCGTGAGAAGCTAAAAACAGCTAAAAAAAAATATCAAAAAAATGGACAACATGACAGTATAGTAGTAATGAGTCCATTCCCGAAAATCTTGATGCTCATGATAATAAATACGATGATATTCAAACTTTAGAAGAGCTAGTAGAAGCAGAAAAAAGTGATGTAGAAGATGATGATATTTCCAGTTCCGGTCCCCAAATTGGCAGTTGGGTTATTGTAACATACAGTACAAAAAAGTCTCCTCGACGTTATGTGGGAAAAGTATTAAATATTGAAGATGAAAGCGCAGAAGTTAAATTTCTCAAAAAGTATAAGGGCGGGTATTATAAAACTGTTTTGACAGTTAACTTGAAGTTAACTTTTTGAATTACATGTAATTCCAGAAGTTAACTTTAAGTTAACTCTCAAAGTAGTTTTATAATACCCGCCCTAAATCACATTTTGTCTGGCCGGACACTGATGACATTGACACTGTTTCCATATATGACATTTACAAGGTTATTCCAGCAGCGGCAGAAGGGCGTAGAGGACAAATATCTTTTGCATTAAGTTTTGATGGATTATGTATTGAATAAAAACATAAATGTATGCTATTTTACCTACTAGTTTCAAGAAGATTAATTTTCTTTTATTTGTATTTTTCTATTAGAATGTCCATTTATTTTTTGATTGAACTTTTATTTTGTATGTATATTGGATAAAAACATGAATGTATGCTATTTTTACCTACTAGTTTCAAGAAGACTGATTTTCTTTCATTTGTATTTTTCTATCATTAGAATGTCCATTAATTTTTTGATTTAACTATTTAAAAACATGATTTTTTTTTCGGCTAAATGTGACATCAAATAACTTCCCAATATTTTTTTTTGAGTTTATATGTGACACAGAGTAGATCACAATTAACTTCGCAGCTTATAGAACGCTTTCATCGTAAAACTTAGTCCAGATCACATTTACCCGCTAACCAGTTACACATTTAAAATTTATGGAGTCTAATTGTGACTGTGGTAAATGTAATCGAGCCAGGGTTGCGCAGCCAATTATGCAAGAAGGCTGCACAAACAACTCATATGAATCATGAAGTAACAAAGTATTACATCACGTTGCAAAGCTGTAATTTACGTCAAATTCTATCGCATTTGAGTAAAACATTCATGTTTCTTTATATTTTGTGATTATTAAATTACATTTCCGCGCACAAGCTGCTTGCGATAGTTTCCTAAAACCTTAAGACCATATCTAAGACTACCTATGCCAAATTTTAAAGACTTGGCACAAAGTGCAGGATTCCTAGAAATTGCTAGAAACATAAATTTCTTGATGTCTTCTGTATTATTATTTGTGTTATTCTTCCTTATTTTTTGGATATTTGACACTTCTGTTTTTTTAGGTAACCTTGACTCTAAGATTATCTTTTCTGTTTTATCACAAAGTTAGTTTTTTGATTTAGTTATGGATTTTTACGATTACGGTTTTTCCTGCGTCTTTTCTGCTTCCAATCTTCGCGTTAAAGTCGAAAATTTAGGTGAAAATGTTGCTTTTGTATATCACAATGCAGTCAGGAGTCACAGTCATTATAACAGTATCGGGATGGGCGGTATGATTAAAAAGAGTATTTGCTTTTACTTCAAGTGAATGCTCCATTTTGTAGTTTTCACTTCAAAACATTATAGCATTTACTACACATAATTCTTAAAGTAAGTACTAGAAGCAATTACTATTTACTTAAATATATAGAAGTTTATACTGCAGAAATTACTAAGGATTTCTAGTATTTCCTCCATTTAAGAGTATTCGGTGCAATTTTTGAGAAGCTACTCAAGAGTAACTTCACATCAATTGCTTCGATTGAGAAGGCGTTATAAATTGCTTTTTTTAATAAATATAATGGTAAGAAATATTTGATGGAGATATTTTCAAGGACTCTAAGGGTCGGTATTATAATGTCCAGTTGACCGAAGGTTGAAACCTCGGTTGAAACTCAATCATCGGTCAACCGGACATTAAAATACCGGCCCTAAGTGATCCTGGATTTCAACAAGGAGTTGATTTAGATGTTGGGGTACCTACATCAAACAACCGTGTCAAAAGGAATTAAAGAAGTTTCAAGTGGAATAAAAATGTTTAGATTTCTTTTCCTCAAAATGCCTGCGACGTTGAATTAGGATGGACGATACTTGGGGAAATAGGAGCGATGGATTGTACCCACATAAAAAACAAAAAGAACCTATTTGAGGTTAAACACGACCTATAGTATTTACTACTATTTTATACTTCTAATCTTAGTGAATACTTCCCATAAAAGAATTTACTTCATGTGAAAGATTAAACTCCACAAATTACTATAGGAAGTAAAAGGTCTTACTTGAAGTACAAGCAAATACTCTTTTTAATCATACTGGCCATATTATCTACATTAAATTGTTCAAATGATAGCTCTCATTACTCTGGCTTGTACTCTATAGGATGAAAAGCATTCATGTCCTATCCGGAATAACATGGATAGACAAAATCATAAGAAAACACATCCAGTGAAAAGGAAATGGACACATGAAAAAATGTATTGCAATTTGATGTTGGTAAATGCCGACTTCAGCTTCCACAAATAACAAAACAAGACTTAGTTTGGCTCAAACACTAACCTCCGAAAATTTCTGGCCAGGCCAGTATCCTAGCCCGCATTAATTTAAAACAAAGACTCAAAAAGCAAACTTTCCACTTTTACTACATTTAAATAAATGAAAGTTTTCCTTCCTTCTGATTGCCATAGTTTCATCATGCATATTAAGACTTATTTAATATCTCACCTGTGTAAACCCTGGGGCAAAACTAGCTGCAGCCCCACCAGTAGCAGCTCCATATGTAGTGTAAGGAGAATATTGTCCCGTTTGGGCCGTCGAAGCTCCAAAAGCGCTGGCTGGAGATCCATAAGGAGTAGCAATATAACCTATATTAACAAAAAATTAATTTCCAAAACATTAAATTGACAAACTATATAGATTCTTACCTGAACCTTTGCACGAACTATTCAACCCTCTGGAAGGTCCCAAAGTTGGGTAAGGATAAGAAGTAGTGCCATAAAAAGGGGTCGTAGACGATGAGCTCATGTATGAAGCGGCCGCTGAGCTTGAGGTGCCATAAGCAGCTTGGTGCATACTATAGAAGAAAAAAAAAAACATTTAAATCTCAATTAAAACTAAAATATCCTAATTAGGGCCATAAATAGACCCTTCAGGAAGAAGAGCACTTTTCCTGATTTAAAGCCCACCTGCCACATTTAGTTACTTTTTACGATCGCGCGCACCTCCCTTTTCTGAAGCGATAAAATTCGAAAAGAGGCAAAGACTTTTCAATACAGATGTCGGGTGTTTATTCAAGCAAAAGTCTGTTTACAGTTTGAAAACGTTAAAAAAGAGATAATTAACGGGGGCGTTTCAGAAAATTTTGTTTAAAAAGGATTCCCGCGGGATCGTTTCCAGAGGATTTTTAATGAGGGAAATAAAAACGTTTGGGCTTTTCGGAATTGTTGTTTAAAGTTTAGGGAAATTAAATTTAATGGAATTTTAATCGGGGAATTGAACACCTGGGATTGGGGAATTTTTTGAGGAAGGAAACATCTCACGTGACGGTTATTTTTAGTAGGTGGCTCATTTTGTGTATCACATTGGAAATAAATTTGGTTTTGTTATGAATGGGTTGTATCGTCGATTTTATTTGAGATCTTAGAGATGGTGTTGATGTAATTAGAGCTATCAAAGATTTTTGGGTCCTTTTAGTTTTAGAAATTCTTAAATTTAGATGGGAAGGAAGGTTAAGTCTTTTTCGTTTACAGTTAGGTATATACAATTCCATCAAGATTAATCGACTTATTAAAATTAGGTCAAGTAATTTATCATCTGGCACGAACGATTAGGGTAGGATATTCCATTGTAGTTTATGAGATCACAAATCCTATTACCACGAATAACATTATGGATAAAAATTGTTAAATCACGGATTTTATTTATAGGTAATCGATTCTACATTTGCCGATTCCCGATCTCCAACCATCTCTGACAGTCGAGGCATCTTCCTTCAAGCCCCTGTCTCTCATTTCCGCGTCTACTCTACTTCTCCAGCTTCTTCTTGGTCTGCCGCGTTTTCTTCTTCCCCTAGGTTTTCACTGAATGATTCGAGAATTAGAATCACTTGCAGGTTTAAATTTTAGCACACCAAATAACGGTATTTGCGAAGACGGAATAAGGTGAGCTGAATTTTTCTCGACATTGAACCTCCAAGATAACTCTCCAAAAAAGATACTACAAAGGCTAACTGTAAGAGGCATTTGAGGAATCGTCACTTAAAGACTACCAGAGAAAACGTAAAGAAGTTTATTATTTATTATCCTTCAGGAGATCCTACCATTGACCAACTGAAAAATGTGACTGTGAAAGATGATAAGAAGTCCTTGCCGAGGGAAAGAGATTTGACTCCAGAAAAAATCCATTGTTCCACACCAAAGATTCATTTAAAAAATGAAGATACTTTTCCTGCTCCTACTTTGGTTCCTGATTTACAAGCTCTCAAACCAACTTTCCCTAATTTATATTTTATGCATAAAGCAGGCGAAACCAAATATCTGAATCCTCCTTTCTTTCCATCTCAACCGTTTAACCTCTGTACAAAATTACCTACTACAATATTATCATCTAGAAAATCCTATTCCTATACGACCAAAATTCAACTTGAACCTTTGGAGGCACTGGAGGAATTTCTTAATGGCTCTTTTGAGCATTCTGAAAATGCTTATTATTTTGATAATGAAGATGACGAACCTTCAATGATGAATATTGCACTCGATTCAAATAAGAAAAAAATGGATGAAGATAAACAACAAATAATGGAAAGAGATGACGAAGATGAACCCCAAGATTTAACTAAATAGTAAAGTGACTAATAATAACTCCCCAAATATTCCCCGAACTGTTCCTAACGTAGATGAATTTTTTGCTCAACAATTACTCAAAAATCGATCCTGCCGCAGCCCTGTATGCTACCCAACTAGCTAACATGTACAAGACCGGTTTTCCTGGATTTCCTGTAAATCCTTTGCGTTTCCAGGCATTGCCACAACTTCGTCGCACTCCTCAAGATATTAAAGAACGTATGCAACGTTTTCAACTATGCGGAGGATCTATGATCATTAATGAATTGAAAACATTCCAATTGCCACATTTTCAACACCATTCCCCACCAATGCCACCAATGGAGAATAGGAACAGGATTCTCCAACGGCGTAGATACTAAACCTAATCATTTTCTTCAACAATTACCAAAGCATTCGGAAGATTCTGATGAATCTCGCAAACCGTTAACTATCAAAGTTGAATCGCCAAACTTCCATGAAAGTAGCTTACCAAAAGTTGCAAAGCCAGATCTCATGCACTCTCCTAATTCAGTTAAAACGGATATCAAAAATAGAGTTTTGATACCCAAACAGAAGCAACGCAGATACAGAACTGAACGTCCTTTTACGTGTGAGCGTTGCTCTGCAAGATTTACCTTGCGTTCAAATATGGAGAGTCACATCAAAAAACAACATCCTCAGTTTTGGTATCAAAGGCAACGGGGAGCTAATATGGTCAAATAGAAAAGAAGCCACAAGAAGTTATGGTGATCTTCCTCCTCTTTTACCAAACTACGACCTTTCAAAAATCCATAACTACGACGCAAGTAGAGAACATATATTAACGAAAAGTTTCTATTTGCTTTGTTAGCTCAGCAATCAAGAGCTAATTGATTCAACCAGGAATTGAAACCAGATGGCGATGACGAGGAAGAGTGGGAGTTGATGATTGATGGCAACGATAATGATGAAAATGAGGAAAACAACTTGGAACTTAAAAAAAATCAAATTCTTTAAAAGACACCTAAAGAGTTTCGTAAACAATCCAGAAAAGAGGGATTCAGGAGCGAGGAAGATTTGGTGCTAGTGTCCAGACTTTTGGACAATGCTTCGCAGCAGCAATTCAAGTGATAGTAGTTTTTTTATAAATGTGTCTGAACGCTGGTTCTTCCTTCTATATTTTTACGCTGTTCATTTGAATTGACGATAATGGCACAAGACGGATCAATTTGTTGAGAACAGTGATTTCTACAAGGTTAGAGAATTGCGATTTAATGGATCAGTATATAAACCAGATTTTACAAACGGGTCAGAAATTCAGGGGCATGCAGGCTTACCAGATAAATTTATGCCCATAATTATGGCTATAGAGCATTCTGGAATAGCCATAACCATAGACGCTATCAAGAGCAAGTTGATTGATATGGAAAGCGGAGCAAGAGTGGGGGCAGTGCATTTTTTGTAACAAAGAAAGCTGGTAAGAAAGAGAAAGACCTGAGAAAGATACAGTGTCTTGGATGCAAAGAATTTGGACAATACAAATCCTAATGTCCAAAGAAACCAAGTGATCGGAAATATCAAAAAAAATCAGACAGTGCCTTTAGCATTGTATTTCTCAGCGGAGAGTACAGAAAAACAGATTGGTTTGTTGACAGCGGCGCCAGTGTTCATTTCGTTTCAGATGACAGTTTGATAGTAGAGGAAAAAGCAATATCAGACACAAGACAGATCATGGTTGCAAATAAGTCAACAGTTCCTGTAGCTGAATGCGGTGACGTTAGGACTACAACAGTTGTTGTATGCGGACCGATGGAGAATAAATCAATTGGAGGTTTGAAATACTTTCTGATTTTTGAAGATGACCATTCAAGGTATGTTTGTTTAGTTTGTAAAGACAAAAGATGAAGTCACATAATGTTTCAGAAACTTTAAGAATCTTGTAGAAAACCAGCAAGATAGAAAGATAAAAATTCTTAGAAGTGACAAGTGAATTTGTCAATAAAGAAATGAAAAGTATTTTGAAGAAAAGTGGAATCATTCGACATTTACCAAAGAACGAACGCATACACACCGCAGCAAAATGGGGTTTCTGAGAGACTCAATAGGACAATAGTGGAAAAAGTAAAATGTCTAGAGTAAGAATCGAGTAAGAATCAAACGAGAAGAAGCCATTGACGTCAGCGCTGACAAAGAAGGCAGATTTCCTTTTCTCTGGGTCCCTCCTATTTAAAGTGAGACAAACGATAACGCGTGTGGCTTCTTCTCGTTTGATTTTTACTCTACTATTCGATGCAAACCAAAGAAAAGCATTTGAAGTGGGACAAGAAAGCTGGAAAAAAAATCTTGTTGGCTACAATGAAAACGTGAAAGGATACCGAGTGTACGATCCCAAGATCAGTCAGCGTGAGCAGAGATGTGATTATTTTTGAAGATGTCACACACAAGTGGAAGCAATGACAAGAAACTTGAAATATCAGAGAAGGTGATAGTTTCAGTTAGAGACACCTGAAAATGAGTCAACTAACAGTACAAATAAGCCAGATAACAGTACATGTAAGTCATATAAATCACCTAAGAAGCTAGATAGCAGTGAAAACAGTAATTTTTCTGAAATCGAAATCACAGAAAATCGGCAAGCTGAACCTAGGAGATCTAAGAGAGATCCAAAACCAAAGAAGATGGATGATTACGTGACATATTTGTGTGCTTCAAGCACAGATGATCCAGTATCAGTATCGGAAGCCATATCTCGGCCTGATGCAGAGAAGTTATGGCTGAAGAGATTAATTCATTCGAAGAAAACTGTGCTTGGGAGCTAGTATCACAGGAAGATGTGTTGCATAATAATATGGTGGAGTGTAAATGGGTTTTTAAGAGAAATATTGATATTGAAAATAATGTGTGTTATCGAGCTAGGTTAGTTGCTGAGGGTTTCACGCAAAAATTTGGTACCTATTGACTTCCATGAGACTTTCAGTCCGGTAGTGAGGCATTCAACATTGAGGATGTTAGTTGCATTGTCTGCAGTTAATCTAGGATTGGAGATTAAACATTTGGATGTTACTACAGCTTTTCTCAACGGTAAGTTGCATGAACCAGTTTTTATGAAACAACCTGAAGGGTTTGTTGTTTCTGGAAAAGAAAACAAAGTTTTAAAGCTGCATAAAGCAGTTTATGGGCTCAACCAGTCAAGTAGGGTATGGTATCAGAGATTTTAAGTTGTTTTATTAAATTTGGGCTATCAGAAATCAAAATATGAGCCATGTCTTTTTCAGAAAAGAAGTAATAATGGTGGGTGATGATAAAGAAAAAACTAAATTTTTGAAAGATAAGTTAAGCATAGAATATAAAATCAAAAATTTGGGACAGGTAAAACAATGTCTTGGAACAAATATTTCAATATCATCATTACATTACTCTCGACGAACAATACAAACAGTTAAGTTGCACAGATTCAAGATGTCAGAGTGTAAAGCTGTGGCTACACCAATGGAGCCAGGTTTAAAGTTAAGGCGGATTTAAACAACTTTTAATAAATTTAAGTCGTAATTTTTTCATAATTTAATGCTCAATTTAATACATAACTCAAAACCCCAGTTTAAACAACTTCATAATTTAATAAATAATTTTTGAAATGTCATTAATATTCTATTGATATTTTGAAATTTGACACTGACAGAACTCGAAAGGTCCAGTTTTTTCATAATTTAATGCATAAAAGTTAAAAGTTGGGAACTTTTAAGGTTATCCATTATGAACTAAATTATGAATTGAGCATTAAATAGATGTATAAACGCTTCCATAGAAATTAATAAATTTATTTTTAAGGCGAGTTTAAACAACTTCATAACTTTAATTTAGTGCGTTATTCACAATTTAGTGCATAAGCTTTAAAGTTAAATTTATTAATTTCTATGAGAGCGTTTATATATCTATTTAATGCTCAATTCATAATTTAGTTCATAATGGATAACCTTAAAAGTTCCCAACTTTTAACTTTTATGTATTAAACTAGCTGACCCGGCGAACTTCGTACCGCCTCTGAATTATTGAATATACCTATTAAATGTTGTGTTAACGTATCTATTAGCTGAATTGAATTAAGTTTTTTTCGATGGTGAATTTGGCTTTGGTTGAACAAAATTAATGTTTACTCTCTGGATCAGAAGTCACCTAAAATTAAAATTTTACATCATCCTTTTTTAGGCAGCTTGTGGGCATTATTCTTGTAAAGTGTACCACCAAATAAATAAACTCAGGCACAGGAATGTTCAAGGAATGTAAAGAAAACAAAAAAAATCTCTAGCGCAGCCCTGTTTCACTCTATCTGCACTGCATGTACTGCACTACTCCATCTATTCTACTCTATCTGCACTACTCTATCTGATCTACTCTTTCTGCGCCACTCTATCTGATCGGAATAGCGGAATAGTTCTATTCGAAATAGCTCCAGTTCCTGAGCAGCATTGTTCTACTGTATCTGCAATGCCGAGCTTCGTTCCAGGTATCAGAGATGGCGCGGTATACAAAATACAAAATAAACTTGGTATCGGTTATAAGAGATGGCGCCGTATGCGGGCTTAGTAAATTTTTTCATTAATAAATATAATAAGCAATAAAATGACCACATTAATGACATAACAACATGCTGGTACTGTCAAAGCTGAAAAAAAGTTTCAATTTGACAGCAAAATCCCCATTAACAAAATGATCCTCAATTTATTTATTACAAAAAATGTGATAAATGAATAACCGCTCTACCGATTTTGTGCAAACTTCACATAAACCATCTAATAAATAGTCCGAACAAAGCCTAAACATTTGGTTTGGCTAGGTGAGCCCGTTCTTGAGTTATAAAATTACAACGAAAAGTGGCATTAATTTTTATAGATTATGAAAAAACTGGACCTTTTGAGTTCTATCAGTGTCAAATTTCAAAATATCAATAGAATATTAATGAAATTTCAAAAATTATGTATTAAATTATGAAGTTGTTTAAACTGGGGTATTGAGTTATGTATTAAATTACACATTAAATTATGAAAAAATTACGACTTAAATTTATCAAAAGTTGTTTAAATCCGCCTTTAGAGAAAACTCCTAATAGTAATTTTCCAGTGCCGTATAAAGAACTAATTGGCAGTTGGCAGTTTAATTGACTGCTGAAAGGATCCTGAGATATTTGCAGGGAACTAAAACTTTTTGTCTAAAATTTGAAAAATGTAAAAATTTTGAGCTCGTAGGATACGTTGATAGACGCAGATTGGGCAAGTAATTCGGTAGGTAGGAAAACTTAAACAGATTTTTGTTTTACTTTGTGTGGTAGTGTCATTTCCTGGGGTAGTTTAAAACAAAAAACTGTTCCTTTGTTAATTACAGAGGCGGAGAATATGGGACTTGCAGGAAGGACAAAAAAGGTAATTTATTTAAGAAATTTGTTATCAGAAATTACTGGGAATATGATAGGTAGTGTTAGATTATTTAACGATAATCAGGGAGCTCAAAAACTTGCTAGCAATCAAGTGTTTCATAAAAAGTCTAAACATGGGTATAGACGTTAGGCATCATTTTGTTAGGGATGTTGTGGGCCAACAAAATAATTACTTTACATTATTTGAATACTGTAGATATGCCAGCTGATGTTTTTACGAAAAGACTAGGAAGACTTTGCATTTGAAAGGACCCCTCACACTACTTATGGGATTTTTGACCGCGGTCAAATTTAACCAAATTTTGGTATGTTATAGATCTCACCTTTCTGATCAATAACTGCCATGAGAAGAACTTAAATTTATGACTAGTTTTTGAGATACAGGTAGTTTAATGTCCAAGAAATGTACACATTTTATGTGCATTTACATCTTTGTCACCTAATAATATACCAGGATGGACAGATATCCTCACGCTCAGGTGACAGGTAGATGTAAATAAAATAAAATTGAATATGTACTTAATTCAGATTTCGCAAGTAATTTTCTATTTTCTGCTCTCAGGGTTCGTGGATTTTGGATGAAAATCCTTTCGCAAACTCCTGGTGAATGATTGAGTGAATATTGCTTCTTGATATCAACAAATTGCTTCTTGATAGCAACAAATTTCTCTTGTCTAATGACAAAAATTGAACTATGCTATGTCGATAAACATTAAATTAAAATATAAAAAACATCGATATCGTTTGAGGCATCAAAAACTTCACACCCACAACTTCAGTGGAAAAGAAGTCAGCTTACTCATTAGCACCCAACCGTGTAAGTGTAAAATTCCTTTTTCCCAGAATATTATTGAATTAGTTTTGGTTCAATTTCTCTTTGCATCAAACGCGAAGTTTACAAAAAATCTGGAATTCGTTAAGTGTCCCAAACAGAGAGTTATGAAACGATCCATCATTATTGATTCAGAGACAAAAAAGAAGTTCTGAATGTGGCGATTCTGAGTAACTGAGAGAATATTTTGTACGGGAATAGGGCACGCGATGAAAGGGGGACTTGGTCAATTTTGGATTGAAGACACACCACAGAAAGCGGTACGACCTACATAACTGGATGATGAGAAGATCTGAATTGTTAACGCGGTTACACACGGACGTGGATGTCTGAAAACATGTACGCACATACATGAACGCGCAAACAAAAACATCAATGTGTATGCAAAATACCGTCGCGTTTTTGAATGTGCAATTTTGTATGCATACACGGAATACTGTAGCAAGAATAGCAAGACTGCAGTTTTGTGCGAGCGTCTGTACAAAAGCGCCATGCACGTTGTTGTTTGCACGTTGATGTATGCACGTATATGTATTAAGACATCCACGTCCGTGTGTAATCGCCCTTTCATGACTGGATATAGAATATGGAAGGCCATGTGATGTGTTTTCACAACTACACTTTCCTGCAATAATAATGCAGAAACAGCAAAAAAAAAAAACTAATATTCCATTAAATGTTAAATTCTGGAAAGCTCCCCTCGAAACGAGCAAAAATTACGCAATTCCTAGTCCAGCATCAAAAAAAAAAACAAACGGATAATTCCAGACTTTCCCTTCCACTTACCTATTATAATACTGATGGGCCTGGGCGTACGCCTGCGGATAATCCTTGTCGTAAGCGGCGGCGCCGATGTCCGCAGGCGACGCCCCATAAAACGGCGCAGACACGACGTCCGCCTGGTGGGCGGTCAAAGCTGCTCCGACGTCTGTATCCGCGAGGCCTGGGGATTTGATTTCGGTTTTTACACCTGAAACAAATCGATTAGTACCTATATAAGTTCTTCTTTATTTTTAAATTCTTATGTTTACAGGATTTAATGGTTCTTACCTTGAGTGTCGAGTAAAGGCCATCCAGCAGCTGCAGCAGCAGCAAAATTAGCTAAACAAGCTGGAGCTGAGCTAGACAAATGGTCCGGAGGAGTGACGTGGCCATTAACATGGGCTGTAGGTGGAGAACCGCATGAACTTGATGTGTGTCCACTTTGTGGTGAAATGGGACCTTGGTCTGTCAATCTGAAAGCAAAAAGTGTAATGTTATTTAAAATTGAACACAGTTTTGTTACAACACAGCAAGAAACCGAACAATTTTCCGTCACGATTTTGCGCAAATCTTAAAATTTATGAGTAGAATCCGAAATTCGTATACAGAGTGGTTTTGAGACCGTTCAGGAGGGGATGATTTAGTTCTTATTTAGTATTCAACAAAAAGGAAAATATATGCAAAAAAGTTACTGTCATTTCCATGTTCGATGTTTTCGTTGTCCTATAATCTGAGCAGTCTATAGCACTATATATGACGTCATGACGCACGAAATGAGTACCTATAGTCCAAATTATTTAAACTTTAATGGTTCAATTATTTAACAAAAAGATACGTTGTACATTTAACTTTTGTATCAGATTTCTATTTTTGAATTCAAAGTCAACAATAAATCTAATCTATCTTTAAAATGATATTTGATCCCTCTCTACTGACTAAATGACCGATATTGCAAGCTCATTCACGTTATTGCTGTTCGAATTTATATTCGCGTTTGCTGGGTGGGTATCCAGTTATCCAGGCGAGCGAGTGTGTTATAATCCAGACCAGGAATCGGAGGATCGAATATCCAATTGGCACGTGAACGAGATCTCTCTTTGCTTGTTTTAAAGTGGCACACACGTTATTATAGGGTTAACAAACTATTGATCTTTTTTTGTTGTGTGCATGAATGAGATTATTTGAAGCCTTATGATTTGAACAATACGGATATAAATGGAGCCAATTTAACTTCTTATGGAAAAAAAAAACAGTAAAAGTAGTAGGCACCGACATAAAAACAATGAGTCTCTTTAAGACTGACTAGTGACTGCAACATGAAATAATAACTATGTTGAAATAGTTTGAGTATTCACCAAGAAGCTTAAGCCTTGGAGCTTTCCTGACAAAAATTCTTTAACCAGGAACATCCATAGAGCACCTTCTTAAGAGATCAATGACGATGTTATGAAAGGTACACAAATACAAATTCAGTTCTAATTTGTGGCAACACTGCATGACACATTAATACATATATAATTATTCCCTATAATTCAGACCGTAAAGCCACAAAAATGTCTTTCGAAAGGGAACATGTGCCGGCCAAATGGCCGCGTCCTCCTCTTTTGTCGGTCGGTGGTGCGGAGCGCGTTTTTGTTTTCGGGAAGCGCCATTAACTCAGCCAGGGAGACGACACTTGTTGTTTTCTCAGGGACCTTTCACAGAAGAAGGCTTGCCTAATGGATTTTCTAAAACCCCACGGCAAACTTTTGACAGGTCCTTTTTTTTTGTCTATCGCTTCTTTCGAAAACAACATTTCATTTTATAGAGTAATGCTTCACACTTTATTATTTTCTATGCAGTTTTTCAATTTGTAGTCTAAAAATTCAATTTTTACTGAGCAACTATCACAATTTACCAAATTATTATCAATAAAGCATCTCGCAATACATTATTGTTCTTTGAGTTTCAAAAGCTAAAGTAATTGTCATTTTTTAGCAAACAAGAATCAAAGTTGAATTCAGGATGGTGAAGCCAATGCTGACAACCGATTTTTCTTAATTTTAAAGAAAACACTAATTATTTCAATCAATGGGATGGAAATCAATGTTGCTTGGGAAGCTCATCATTTCCACTCTTATTAAAATTTGCTCAAATTTTGTATAGAGTCTATATATCTGCACGATACCGAAGAAAATAACAGAGGATCTTACACTTCAATTTGGTCCACTATATCTCAAAGCCAACATATTTCCATCGAAAATAATTCTAACTTTCTCCAACAGATTTACATGAGATTAAGAAAGTTTTACAACGAACAAAAACACTCACGGCAATAATGGATTTTCCAAAGTATGCCAGATGAGCTTATGACAGAAAAAATGTCTCTTTTGAAACTGGAACATTTACCGCAAATCTTAAGATATCCTTCGTAAAATTCAAGGGAGGCGATTTAAATGATCCAGCCAATTACCGACCTATATCTCCTTTACCATACCTCACGCCTGTCGAAAATTATAGAGATCCTATAGTTAAGTCAAGAATGATTATTTTTTCAACTAAACACATGGAACCTTTAGTAAATCCCAGTTTTGTTTTCAGGTGGGAACAAGTGCAAATGACGCAATGTTTGCCTTTTTGGAAGACCTTTATTTAAGCGTTTTGTGATTTCAGCAAAGCGTTTGATTGCGTGAATCGTGATATATTGCTTGGCAAGCTTTTCCATAATGGGGTTAGAGATGTTGTTCTGAAGTGCGGTTTAAATCCTTCTTGTCGGATAGAAAACAGACAGTTGGGTCAATGGGCATTTTATCTCAATTTTTGCAGATAATACAACTGGTCTGTGTTCTCACAAAAATGTTGCTGCGTAACGCGTCTCGTGACAGATAAAAGTATTATCCGGTAATCCTGAAACCTCTTGTGGTATTACATTCGACAATCCCTTTTTCATTTTTTTTTTCGACTGGTCATGGGCCGGTGTCATTGGGTGTTTTCTACCGAGGTAGAGGGTGCTTTGGTGTCATAATGGTTACAATCTCCCCTTTTGGAGTTTCCCTACGTCCTCGGGGATACTCCAAGTCAATTTTTAATGTATGATCGCCACATAAACAAGTTGGAGCTTTAATGAATGCGGCGTCTGGGTTGTCCATCAAATCTAATCTGGGCTCATTGTCATTTTCATTTTATTCTTCGTTAGAACTCTCATTGTCATCAGAATGCAGTACATCTGTGTTTTTCTGAGGAATGGCCTCTTCACCGTGGGGTATATTATCAGTTTCAATAAGGCGTCTTCTCATGGGTCTTCCACGTGGGTGTATAGCGTATAGGTCTTACTGGTGTTGGAACTTCTCCTTTTCCCACATAAGGTGCCATAGCTGACGTATGTAATTTGATGCTGGGACCTTCAGTTGGCTCTATAGGTTTAATTTCAATTGTTGTTGGAGTGACAAGTGACAACCTTAGTAACTTCATATGGACCATCACGTCGTGGAGCACCATCACTCGATCTCTCTCTTTGTAATGGGTAATAGTTCTCCTCTTTTGGTCAGCATAATGTTTTGATTAATCTTGGGACTCTTCATGGAGTTCTATTACTTCTCTCAAGGTTCTAACCAGGGCTGTAGCGATATGAATATCCCTAGGGGGGGGAAGGCTAAGATCCGGCGCCCCTTAAGCGCCGCGAAGTATATCCAAGGGCGAAAAAAAAAATATATATTTGGAGACCACATTCAAATTTTGCCAATTTTAAACAAATGTGGTTCATTATTGTCTATTGATCGATCAGTATCAATAATACGTGATTACGTCACCGAAACCGAGAGTGACGGGACACCGACTTTCCGTTATGCCGTTGAAATTTTTCCGTTTCGTATTTGGTTACCACTAGGTGGAGCGCTAATCCTTTAGGACTTTAGGAAAATTATATCTGGCATTGCGTATTCTATTAGGCCAGCGCACATTGTCTACCGCTTCATGGTGCGCAGCTCCTATAGGACTAGGACTTGTTAGATTATATCCGACGTCGCGTTCCCTATTAGACCAGCGCACGTAAATTAAATAACTACGCTCATATTGCCAACCATTTGAGTGTTGGTTTTCAATAATAATTAATAAAACAACTTGCAGAATTTAACTTTTTTTGTAGCAGTAAAATTCTTTCCAGCAGTAATAAGAAAAAACTTATGCAACACTTTCTCATAGTTCCAGGCAAGCACTTTGCCGCGGTAGCAAATATAGATACCTACTTATTAAAAATAAGTGTTTCTACTGTACCGGGAAAAAAGTATTAGTGGCAGTAAAGAAGGTTACTGTTACAACCAAGGTACTTTTTGATAACTTAGTAAAGTGCGTTCTACTACTATTCAGAATAGGATCGTTTTGCAATTACAGCTAAAATTTCTGCTATGATAGCCAAAAATCCATTATTAAAGAATTTTTGGCTAGAGAATTTCTCAGTGTAAAATCAACAGAAATAATAAAACGAGACAGAACGAGAAATATTACAAAATTATCGCGCCACCTGTAACCACCAATTAACCTCAAAAAATGACAACGATAATGCATTGCAATGGATGTCTGCAGACGATCGCAGAGGGTGTGCGCTGGTCTAATAGGAAACGCGACGTCAGATACAATTTAACAAGTCCTATGTGATTAGCGCTTCATGTAGCGGTAAACAATGTGCGCTGGCCTAATAGGAAACGCGATGCTAGATATAATTTTACAATTCCTAAAGGATTAGCGTTCTATGTAGTGGTAACCAAATGGGAAACGGAAAAATGCGTCCCGTTTTGATGGAACTTTTGATTAGGGCGTGTTCAGAGAGAAATGGAACTCTTGACTGGGGCGTGCTCGGGCGCCCTCCTGCCCAGCGTCTAAATGCATGCTGAATTAGCATTAAAATACTATCCATTCTAAATTGTAATATTTATAAAATAGTATACCTACTATTCAATTGCCTACCTACACGGAAACTTTATTTCACTTGCCATTTGGCTAAAAAAAATTATTTATTTTTTAGACTTTGGCCTATTTTGGCGCCAGCTGCGCCCTGGGGGGAGGCTCCCCCGTCTCCCCCCCTGTTGGCTACGCCCCTGGTTCTAACAATATTTATCAAATAAGGGATAACTTGAGGAATGAAATTTTCACGTTCAGTGTTAGCTCTCATGTCCCTTTGTACATCATTGTGTGTGCAGAGCTCTCGTCCAAATGTTAAATATCCAGTACTGTCACATCTTGAGGTGCTCATGGCAAAACGCACGGAGGGTAGTTTATTCTTCATCATTCTTCCATTGAGTGTGACAGCCTCCTACTAGAATTGATAGTTGGATTTTCAAGTCGAGGTTTTTCCTTTCCACAGGATTAGACTCTGCATGATACACAGGTATTAAGTGCTGATGAAAACCAAGACAATATGCTACATACTGCATAGTTTCACTAACAAATTGCACTTCATTTTCACTGGTAACCTTTCGGGGAACTCCATTTCTGAGTA